TTTTTTTTGGGCTGCCAAAATGGAGCTACCCTTTTCTAAGGCACTGTTCTCCAGTTTTGCAAAAATGTAGGTAAGGAAACTTTAATAGAATAAAAGGCCTGGGGCACAAGCTCATCCTTAAAGGCTCACTGAAAGCCTTCTCAGGACAACTCCAAGAACAAATAGGCTGACAGGGATGCTATGTAACCTCATCCTGTTCCCACATAGTTTCAATTTCTTCTGCAAGATCTCTATTCAGAAAATTGCATTTCCTATGTCTTGGAAATATTTGGTATGGCAAAAAATTGAATTTTTCATTTTTATTTTCAGTACCAAATTCTCTCCATTCATCTATCCCTCCCCTACCCATTGAGAAGGCAAAAAATATGACACTCATTATATGTATAAAGTCATGCAAAACATATTTCCACATTAGCCATATTGCAAAAAAAAGAAAAAAGAGAAAGAAGAAGATGATGAAGAAGCCGATTAGGTGCCTATGCTAAGTTCCGTATCAATGATGAGCTGTGGGGGGTGGGAGGGGAAGAGCGGATAGGCCCAATTTGGAACTGGAACATAATGGAAGTACTTATGTCTTTACTTCATTCCTCTTTCCCAGTGCATTCCTGGTTTACTTCTTTTGGTGGTCCCCATCTTCAACCAAATATTTCCAGCAGGTGGGACACTGGTGTTGCTGACTTATTCCATTATGTCTTATCTTCTTATAACGTTTATACCCCTTGTTTTTCTGTCCCTTGTGTTAAGCTGATCATAATGACATTTTTGAGTTAATCAGCCTGTAATTCTATGCCAACATATCTGTTATTTGGATTTCTAGTACTAGTTTTATCACACAGATTTAGGTGCTGACCCAAACAGTAGAATCACCAGAGCTCCTCTGGCCAGGATTTCAGGGTTCCAAGACTTTCCAGCTAGTAGTATGGCCTCAGGATCTACATCACCTGGCTAATACTCTCTTATTTTGCCACTGTCCATTCTTCTCATGACATGGACCATGGGTTGGGATTAAAGGGAGTTATTATTATTATTATTATTATTTCTGTTATATCTGTATTATTAGTATAAGCGCTTGGGTGGGGAACCTGCGGCCTCAAGGCCACATGTGGCCCTCTAGGTCTTCAAGTGTGGCCTTTTGACTGAATGCAAACTTCACAGAACAAATCCTAGACTACTAGGCTTGGGAATATTTAAAAACAAAACACGAAGCTTTTTTTTTTTAAACTATTTACATTCAAACTTTTATTTAAAAACAGTGACAAAAATAAACATTAAAAATCCATTTGGAAATATTTACAATCTGGCCCTGGAGAAAAGAGGGGAAGGGAGAGAAAAACTGTTATTCTCCCCTATTGTCAAACCCTGCCTACACAGCTTTGGATCTAGGGTGAAACCATAGAACCAGAAAGCAGGCAAGTTTACACCCACCTGAAATCTACCTCCCCCACCCACCCAAGAAGAAAAGGTGGGAAGTGGAATTAAGTAACAACCTTTCCAAGTTACAGTGGAAGTTGTCTTTAGCAGCCTGTGAGTTAACATATCTAATTGTGATCATAAATGATTGTGGTGTTTCATTATTATCATTATTACTACTAGTATTAATAAACATAAAATGATGTGTTCATCTGTGATTAGAATGACGGTGCCTCAGGGAAAGATGTGAAACATCTCCTGTGTAGGTGGAAAATGTTTGCTTGTTCAACATATACTAGACTTATTGTTTTACAGGGAGATATAAGGTACCATTGTTTCAGTCTTATGGTCTGAAATAATTAAGCCTTTAATTGAGACTTCAAAGCTGACTGTGGATCGCATCTGATTTGCCGATTACACCTATTTTACAAATTACATGAAGAAGCTGAATAGAGGTGTTGTTAGTCACACATTGTCTTCCCAACTAGGTCTTAGATTTCTAACTACAAAAGTGTTACAGAATTGGCCACATCTATGTTTGTGTGTGTGTGTGTGTGTGTGTGTGTGTGTGTGTACCCATGTGTGGGTTTTCCTGTTAGTTTTGTTTAATCTTAAAAATTAGCTAAGATATTACAAATGTTAAACTATTTAAACATAGAATCCCATTTCCTAGTTGTCTTTTTGCATATTGGGTATGCACCCCTCGTCACCTACAGAAATACAATGCTGTTGATACATTCTTAAGAGTGATGTTGCTAATATGTTAATGTTATAGGATACTATTTCAGTTCATTCACTAGCTGGGGGTTCTTTTTCTCCATCTCTTGTATCTTAGGAGGAATGGTGATGCCCCTGAATCTAAGTAGGAAGACCAGTCAAATCACAATTTGTTTTGAGAGTTAGGTGGGGTGAACTTCTTTTACTTCTAGTAATCTACTGGTCGACAGCTAGGTGATGCAGTGGATAGAGGGCCTAAAGTCAGCAAGACTCTTACCGAGTTCAAATCTAGCTGTGTGACCCTGGACAAGTTGACTACTTAACCCTGTTTACCTCACTTTCCTCATCTGTAAAATGAGCTGGAGAAGGAAATGGCAAACCATTCTAGTATCTTTGCCAGGAAAACCCCAAATGGGCTTATGAAGAATTGGACACTATTGAAACAACTGAACAAAATAAATTCTACTGTTGACTTAATATAGCTAAGACTTGTGGAACCCTGCAATTTCTGAAGGATTAAACTCGCATACCATTCAAGGGACAATAATAGATAGGCATGTGATGTGTGAATATGCTGCAACATCTGTCAAATGAGGAAATACTAAGAAATATCCCAAGGAAGGGAGGACATTAAAGAAATGCATGGTGAGGGGGAAAAAAATGATGGGCTGGCCATTTGGCAAATGAAAAGGATAGCTGTTGGGCATGTTGTATGCTCCACTGGATCCTTACAATGTCAAGAGAAGGTACCTAACATGTTAATAGACTTAGAAGAGGACATGGACCAGAGTCATACAGGATGGGCAGAAATAAATGAGTTCTAGAAGGAATATCCATGTCCCTGAGCTCATGAATCCATTTGAGCATAAGGTCTAGACAGCCATTTTATCTCAATTTGTGAATGGTGATACTATAAAGATTCTTCAGAAACCCAGAAGTATCTTCTAATTGGAACTGCAGCACTGTGGAAAAAACCCTGGAAATGATGTTCTTAGGATTTGAATTCAGATCCCAGTTCTGTCACATAATATATGTGTGAGATCTTGAATGAATCTCTTGGCCTCAGCAAAGGAGACAGAGAAAGCAGACTCAGACACAGGTCTTTAAAGGCATTCAATGACAGCCTGTCCTTGTTAACTGCTTGAGATCCTGACAACTCCCACCAGATGGATTGGAGCCATCAGTACAAAGTACACTGTATTATAACTTTTAGTTCATCAAATGTTATTTTGAGAAATGAATTGTAAAGAACTTTTGAAATCAATGAACAAATGAATACATTATACCAAGATAAAGGAATAATTTCAATTTTCATTGTCACATCATCTGTCCAGTTTATGCAGGGTTCTTATATTATAGGCTGATGGAATTGTGCCACAAAAATCAGGCAGGTCAGCAGCTGCTTTGAGAGAGAAGGGGTGGAAGGGAGAGCCAGACAGAGACAGAGAGACAGCTGGAAGGAAGAGAATATCTGAGGAATAGGGAACTCTAGCAGGAGAGCTAATAGTGCAGACCCTGACATACACAAGTGTACCGTAGGTGATCTGCAACTTACAAGTTTGGAACTTGGAAAATATTTTCCTATAGAAACAGTGCTGTGAGGATCTCATTTGATCTTCCCAACAGCCCTTTCAGGAAGGAAGGACAAGAATCAATGTATGTTGATAAAATTTGTGCCAATTTGTACCCACAAGATGATATTCCTGTCTCTTGGGGAAGGATTTGTGCTATACATGTTCTAGTTTCCTAGGATTCATGTGGAATGTGTGCTGTGAAATACAGGCAGTCAGGGTCCTTTGAAATGTGGCTTAGAATGTTTCTCCAGCAACAAGGGATTTAGCTGCACACCTACTAACAGTGTTAGTCTGGGCTGGGTTGGAGCCAGCCTTTAAGTGATTTATTCAAGTTGGCAAAACATTACATGACTATTATGTGAAGACGAGAGTAAGCGAAGCATAGTTCCTAGAGCACCAGCTGTAGAATCCAGAAGTCCTGCCTCTGACACATAGAAGCTGTGCAACCATTGACAAGTCCATTAACCTCTCAGTGCTGCCCAGCCCCGACCCCAGACAACTCTGAAAGACTAAGTGACAGGAGCTGCTGATCTGTGTCTATGGAGGGGTTTTAGGGGGGGCGAGGTGGAGTTAACATCCTGGGGAAAATGATGAAATGGAAGATCTGGAACGCTTTCCCACCTATCCCTGTGAAGACATTTTAAATTAAGAGCACTTGTCTGCTTTATTATGTTGGAGATTCATTTCAAGTGTGGATTAGACTGGGTGGCCTTTGTCATCCTTTTTAACTCCAAAATTCTGTGATTCTGTTACCACGGGACTGCTTTGTTCTCCCTATCAGTTGGAGGCAGACACTGGTTCAAAATTGTTACTTCTCCCTTTCTACAAGAAGCCACCATGCAATGCATTCAGAAGTGGATTAAAATTCAGCCTCTGCTCCCTGTGTGACCAGGGACAAGTCACTTAACCTTCGAGGGCCTCGGTTTCTTCACCTGCAAAATGAAGAGACTTAACTAAATTATCTCTAAGGTTCCTTCTCATTTTAGATCTAGTATTCTGTGACTATGGATCTCTGCTCTAGAACTTTGTAAGCCTCTGCTCTAGAACTTTGTTGGCCTATGCTCTAGAAGACTCTGTTTCACTCCTGTCAACAGTGTCTCCTTGACCACGTAGGAAATGATGGAAGAGTTAAGTATTCCCTTCCCTTATTAATTTGAAAGAGAAGTGTCTCACTGATACAGTTTTCCCCACGAATCTCTCTTTTCCTGAATGAGGGACAAAAGGGGGCTGGCTGAGGTCTCCCCACCAAGTGATGGAAGCAGGTGAAAGCAGAGAAGGAGGGATCCCTGATCCCTGTTATTTTCAACCAATAACACTCCTTGTTAATTGAGAAATGGAGGGAGTCAAGGGGTAGGGCAGCTCTCCAACTTGTACTCGTCTGGGAAAGGATTAAAGGATTTAGCATCTAGTGAGCCAACTCCCTCTTCCAAGGGAGGGAGCTGCCTCCTGAACTCTTCCCATGGTCAGGGAGGCAGGAAGTAACCACACAGGGTAATGAAGGAAGAGAGCTGAAGTCTAAAGATCTTGGAACAGTATATTTGGGAGCATCTAACCTTTGGGTTAAGGGCAGCTAGGTGGTACAGTGAGTAGAGTGCTGGGCCTGGAGTCAGGAAGACCTGAGTTCAAATGTGACCTCAGACATTTACAAGTTGTTTGACCTCAGGCAAGTCACTTACCTCTGTTTGCCTCAGTTTCCTCATCTATAAAATGAATTGGAGAAGGAAATGGCAAAGCACTCCAGTAGCTTTGCTAAGAAAACCCCAAATAGGGTCACAAAGAGTTGAACTGAAAAACAATTGAACAAGGCTAGGTAACCTTTGGATAGGACAGTATGTGGCTCCAGAGGAGAAAGTGAGGCTGGTGACTTTGCACAGCCCTGCCTCACTTAAATGCAATTCACTTGCAAGTCATGACATCACCTTCTTGATGTCATGGTCCTCTTTGAGAATAAAGGATAAACAATCAATAATCTGTGAGTATTAGTAGCTGCCCTGATGGGGACCCAACTGGCCAGTTCCAGTTGGGCAACGCAGCTTCTTTCTTCCTTCCTTCCTTCCTACCTTCCTTCTTTCTTTCCTTCCTACCTTCCTCTGTCCCACTCTCCCTCCCTCCCTTCTTCTTTCCCTCCTCTCCCTTTGCCCACAAAGGGAATCATACCCCTTGCCCTCAAGTGTTTTGCCCAAGGAATATAAATTTTGGTCACTGAAACCTCCCAAGGTATCTTGGGGTTTACTGGCTAAATTTCTTTTTTAAGGACTATGACTTAAACCTAAATTACTTTAGCTCTCATTGATTGGCCAACCATAGGTCCCAACCTAAGCCTCATTTGGTCATTGTTTGGGCTCTGATGATGGTTCAAAGTCAGTGTAAATAGCAGTTGTTTCTGTTTTGGCCAGAGACCCTGAGGGTCTTCCCCTCTCAGATTGTTGTTTTTTTTTTTTTTTTTTTTTTGGACTAGATAAAAGAAGCCATTCTTTGCCTCATTTCTTACCTAGGCTTAATCACTGAATAGGCATTGCCCCTTACAAACTGAGACCTGGAAAAGACCTTTGCTTAAAAGGGCCAAGGTATACCACTGTATCTGAGGCCATCTCCATTAATCTTAATCTGTGTCGTACCACCTGACCCAGATGGCTTTGGAGGGAAAAGTGAGGCTTGTGATTTTGCACAGTCCTGCCTCACTTAAATCCAATTCACTTGCAAGTCATGACATCACCTTCCTGATGTCATGGTCCTTTTTGAGAATGAAGGACAAACAACAACATGGTTGTAGCAGAGAAGAAAGGAAATCTTATTCTAGTAAAGGAAGGCAGTTAGATACTGAAAAGGGAAAGGGGGCTACCACACAGATTGGCTTCCATGCCCCTTTGCCCAGAATAAGGCAGGAGGACAACAGTGCTTGGGGATACTCTACCCAGATGGGTTCACAAGGGTATATGGCTAAAATTAGGGATCTAGAGTTGCTTAGGGTCCATGTTGACAATGAGGAGACTGAGGTCCAGGGAAATTAAGTGACTTATTGAAGGTCACATAGGTTAGGTAATGATTGAACTAGAATTTGAACCCAAGTCCTCTGACTCCAAAATCAATGTTGTTTTCTTTGTGTTGCACTGCTTTGCCAGAGCCAATGGGAGCTCAGAGGCTTGGTGCCCTTCTTTAAAGACCTCTCAAAGTCTGATCAGCACCAAATATGAGATGAAGGAAATAAGGCAGCTCTCTCAAAATAGAAGTTGCCGAGCCATTACAGATACGTAGAGTTTCTCAAGGTGGATGCTGTTTCACTCTGATCTTTGTATTCCAGCACTTAGCCCAGTGCCTGGCACATAGTAGATGTTTAATAAATGTTCATTGACAGATTGAGTGACTGTGCCCAGCACAATGTGTCATCATGGCTGCCTTAATAAGTGCTTGTTGAATTGAGAAGAGAAAAAAGAATTGTCCTTTCTCATCTCTACCCCCCTGTGCCTTCCCTCAGATTCCCTTACATTCACACTGTATGTATCTTGTATGTCCCTGGTTATTTTCATGTTACTTTTCCTCATTAGAAGTAAGCTTCTTGAGGGCAGGAGCTAAGTTTTTGCCTTTCTGTGAATCTCTAGTGCTTAACATAGTGTCTGTCTCATAGTAAATGCTTGTTGATTGACTGTTAAGGTCAAGGACTGCATTTTTTATTCTATTTTTTTTTCTTTTCTTTGCATCCCTAACACTTAGCATAGTACCAGATACAGAGTAAATACTTGGTAGATGTTTGCTGATGGATTGAAGAAGAAGAAAAAAATACCCATTCACTACATTCTTTACCATTAACTTCAAATTTACAAGAAGAGGAGAAGGATCCAGGGTTTCCTCAGTGTGGAGAATTCCTAGTGTGAGAATTGTGTCTATCAAAATCTGTTGTGGTAGATAAGTCCTCAGGAGTTTTTTGAGGCACATAGAGGTTAAGCAGCTTGCCCGAGTCTCACAGCTACTAAGTGTCATTGGTGGGATTTGAACCTAGGACATGTCTTCCAGGCTCAGCAATCTTATCAGATATACCACATTTTCTCTACCTTCAAATCTTTCCATCTTCAGATCATAGATTTAGAACAGTAAGAGATTGAAGAGAGCATCTATATATAGTCTAATCATTTTACATTTGAGGAAAGAACTTAAAAGATTAAATGACTTGTGTAACCTTATTAATTTGAAATTTGAGTCACTAAAAATGGCAACCAAACATTTTAGAAAAGTGGAGGCAGAATTACATAATGAAAAGAACCATTGGATTTGGAGTTGAAAGACCTGGATTCTGATCTCAGCTCTGTTATTTACAACCTATGTGTCCTTCAACAATTGATAAGTGCTTGTTGATAGATTGAATCTCTGAACCTTATTAGTATCTTTATGCATAAAATAAGAAATTTGGACTACATGACTTCCAAGGTCCCTTCCAGCCAGACTTACCACTAGGCATTCAAGCACCTGGGATAAATTTATCTGGAGTTAGGGGGTGGTCTGAAGGAGCCTCACACTACTGTAGGGAAACCCTTTTCTGTCCTTGGAACAGACTCAGCCCCACCTCCAAAGAATCCAGAACCCCAAAGTACCTTATCTCCCCAGGGCTGAATAAGATCCAGAGAAATATACTTCCTCCCCAGAGAAGTGGTGGTCCTAAAGGCCCCCGTCTCCAACAACAGAGCAGTTGTACCCCTATGTTGTCCCTAAGCTGCCTGAGAACTGTGCTGCCCTTGTGCTTGGGGCCACCCCAGTGGGGAGGAGCAGCATTTATCCATCCGATGCTGTTTGTCCTTGGTCATCTCCCCTGGAGGGCCACTGCAGGGGAGAAAGCATGCACCTCTATTTCATTAGGTGGAGCCCTAATAGCCTGCAGGAGTTGTGGGTCTGTTTTTGAATTCTGAATAATCCTATAAGCCTAAATGATCCAGACCCATTTTTATTAACAGTTGTTTCTATTTCCCTACTAATTTTAAACTAGTTGAATCCAATTTCTGTGAAAGCATTTTGAAAATCTGGGGTGAGCCACAAAGGGTGTTAAATATTCAATTATATCACTAGCCAAATTGGGGAAAATAATTGGTACATATATACATTTATTTCCATATTCTAATGAGATTCGTTTCTCTACACTGCTTATATTCACGGACAACTCTCTTGTGGTCCTTGGTTTGCTTTTTAACGTTTTCACCCTTCACAAAATAAAAAAAAAACTATCTTCAAATTTGAACTCATTCATCTTAATCCAAGCCCTGTGGAAATTCTAGGACTAAGGTTGTTGGAAAATTTCCTCTTCTTATTTGACAAATTTTTAAAAGGCCCACTTTTTATTTTATTTTATTTTCCCACTAAGAATACATTAAATGAATGCCCTGTAGATAAGAGAGCAAGCTACCAGAACCATCTACAGAGAAATACCCAACATACCAGCCATCCAAACTAATGTCGTTTTGCTACTTCTTTATGTCTTTAACACTTTATAACCCAAACCTGGTGCAGAACTATAAAACGGTATCATTTGTTGGACCTATCATTCCTCTTTATTCCTGTGTAACTAACTGATCCCTAAATAATGTAGTTTTATTGATGCCATGCTTTTGCAGAACCAGTTAGCACAGTTAGGCAGATATAACTGTACTTTGTTCCTTATACTTCTCTTTTGTTCTGAAACTGCAATAAAGTAGGAAGTCCAGAAGCATTTAAGTCCAAATGATGTACCAGCCACTGTGCTGGGCACTAGATTATGAGCAGTTTGGCCTGCTTTTCATTTCACACTGTCCCAAGTCATATGTATCTGTGGTGCTATAGAAAGAATGTTTGGGTTTGGAATCCGAGAATACGGATTGGAATTCCTGCCTTGCTACTTACTGTCTGTGCAAGCATAGGCAAGTCAGTTAAACTCTCAACTTCAGTTACTCAACTGCAAACCGAGGAAATTGGACCAGATGACCTCTAGGGTCCTCCCAGATCTATGTCTCTGATTCTCTGATTACTGAATGCCATGGAACTATAACAGGGTGATGATTCAAGGACTTTTGTAGGTATTAAACAACCATGAAGTTTATAATTGGCTCATAATCAGATCTAAGAGAAACAAAGCAAGAAGGAAATAATATTAAAAAATAAAAATGGGATTGTTTTAAGTTTACACAAAAGATTTTTTTATTTCTTAATTTATTTATATTTAGTTTTCAACATTCACTTCCACAAGATTTTGAGTTCCAAAATTTCTCCCCATCTCGTCCCTCCTCCCACCCCAAGGCAGCATGCATTCTGAATACCCCTCCCCCTAGTCTGCCCTCCCTTCTATCTCTCCCACCTTCTCTTATCACCTTCCCCTTCTATTTTCCTGTAGGGCAGGATAAATTTCTGTACCTCATTGCCTGTATATCTTGTTTTCTAGTTGCGTGTGAAAACAATTTTTAACATTTGTTTTTAAAACTTTAGGTTCCAAATTTTCTCCTTTCCTCCCTCCCCACCCACCCTCATTGAGAAAACAAGCAACTCAATATAGATTCCACAACACATTAGATTTTTGATGTATCAAAGTTTACCTTTTACCTTTTTTTCCTTTGCCCAAGGAAACCGTCACTCTGATATCATATGGAAGAAGCTTTCATTGAAAGTTGGTGATAGGTTTTCCCAACAAAGTGCATAACCATCGTGATCCTACTAAGATCTTGTATATCTTAATATATATAACAATAGTACATTTTGTCTGGATTCCTCACACAAAGGATGGGGGACTGTCCACATGAAGTAATTATCTGCCTCTCAAAGGAATATGTAGTTAACAGTTGGTAGAACTGTAAAATCAGCAGTGCTTCAAACATTGATGATTTTAAAATGCACAGGATTATTTTCCCCATTCAAAGAGGGACACAGATGGCTGCTGTCTTCCTATGCAATTACCCTTCGGGGGGAAAGCATTCATTATGTTGTTTACGTTGTGATTCACTTTACTGTGAGAATACCTTGTAAATGATATCAGAAAGAAGATTTTCAAAGTGGGTGAACCTGATTTCAATGAATAATCATTGGGGGAAATTAGAAGAATGTGGATAGCCATTTTTCTTTTATGAGCATGGGTTTTGTTTTTGTTTTACCTGCCAAATTTTTGCTTATTCTTTATCAAGTGAAGATAAAAAAGAGTAGGCTGATAGGAGTGGAAATGATCACTTCCTTCCATTCAAATTATGAGTTAGAACTGGTTTTTAGTACTGGATGCTAAGAATCTGAGCAACCCTTAAGAACTTCTAGCAAACAGGGTTGTAGTATTTGGGGGATCAAGTCCTCCTGGGATTTAGATTTGCTGTTACCTTAAACAAAGCTCCTTGAAAATGGCCTTCATCCATATCCTTAATCTTTCACTTTCTCCTTTTACTTCTCTTTCAGTCTTTCTCTTGCTCTGTTGATCTTAATTATTATATTTATTTGGCCAAATAGCAGCCCTAAATTAGTCTTAAGTTTTCCATTGGAAGGGGTCTGCTTACCTCACTTTCCATCACTTTCCATATTTTCTCGTACTAACTTGAGTTCTTCATATTTTTTTTTCCTTTTTTAGGCAATTGGGGTTAAGTGACTTGCCTAGGGTCACATAGCTAGTCATATAATTTTTTTAAAATAAAAGTTTTATTGGTGACTTGTTATATTGTCATCACTTTTGGATTTGATTCCACTCCAGGAGAGCCTTACTTTATAACAAAGAAAAAAGTTAAGCAAACACAGCCTACACAGTGACTACTTTGAACAAGTAGGTATGCAAGATACTGCACCCATAATCTTCCCACCACTCCAATTTAGAAAAGAAGTATATTTCTTCTTATTCTTCAACAACTAAGATTGGTCATTATAATTAAACAGCACTTGTCTGTGTTTGAGTGTCTTTTCCTTTAGACTGTCATAGTCATTGCTTATTGTTTTTCTGCTTCTTAAATATTCTGCCTCATTTTCACAGAAGTTCTCGTGTTTCTTTGAATTCCTCATATTTACTGTTGCTTGTGGCACAATAACATTCCAAGTCTTACACTTTTAATGTATATTCACAGAAGTGAAAGGTAGTCTGAAAACTATCAATTTCACTGCATAATCACAGATTTTATGCCAATTTTTTTTTGCAGAAAAGTGGTGTACGACCATGATATGAAGCTTTTTTTTTTTTAAATTGTGCTGGTATTACTTGAAAATCATTTATTACTAAACTGTCTTTGGTGCAAGATTAGGATACACAGAATACTCGTGAATATATGTTAAAATTGAATATTGACAATGCAGGTGTGCTGAGAATTCTAGGCTAGAGGCTTGCAATGTGCTAGAGATAAATGCTGGTGAATACAATGATGCTCTGTTTACCTTTTAAGCGGCATGACAAACAGAATTATACCATGTGATGATTATACTATGAAAGGTTATAAACCAATTTTTGGACTGAAATAACAAAACAAAACAGGTGCGTCGATTACGCAGTGAAATATGGTACTGTTAGGCTTCAACCTGCATGCGTGTACTAGTCACAGCTCATCTGTGTGGGTAACATCCCTCTATGAGATGATGTAGTAGATGGCCAGTTAGAGTGGCTTTCTACCAAAAATGTGTCATTCTGCACTAACCTGGTAATCAGTCTCTCTGACCCTAGTGAGGCTGTTCCTTGGAGAGCTGATATCCAGTCTATCCCCAGGCCTATGCACTAAAATTTTCATCTCAGACAGCTTACATTCCACCTGCGTAGCCTTTGAGAATCCAAAGTTACCACTACTCCACCATGTAACGTCAAATCGGTGACATTGAATAGAAGGGTTGTCAGAGATCATTTTAATTTGATTCCCTCATTTTAGATAAGGAAACTGAGGCCTGGAGAGGTCAAATGACTTGTCTTTCCAGATACCCCTTAATTCTAGTGCCTTCCCTCTATTAATTATTTCCATTTTATCCTGTATGTAACCTGTTTGTACATGGTTGTTTGCTTGTTGTCTTCCCCATTAGACTGAACTCCTTCAAACCAGGGACTGTCTTTTGCCTTTCTATTCTCAGTGTCTAGAACTGTGTTCCGCACATAAGAGGTGCTTTTAAAATGTTTGTTGACTGACTGATTGCCCAAGGTCACATGTGGGAAGTAGCAGAACCAAGATTCAAATCAAGATCTCCAGCTCCAGATCCATCAGTCTTTCCATTTCACCACCTTTTGGTGCTTAATAAAGATTTGTTGAATTGAATAGGTAGCTTTGTGTAGAGACCTGGGTTTTACTTTCATCTCTAACACTTAATGAGCTGTGTAACCATTAGCCATTCACTTAGCCTCAGTTTCCTTATCTGCAAAATGAGGGTGACGAAACCTGTAGTACTTGGCTCATAGGTTTATTATGAAGCTCAATTGAGATAATGCATTAATACATGTAAAGTGCTTTGCAAACCTTGAAGAGCTATGTAAATATCAGTATTAAATAGTTCTCAGAGTGATGAGAAAAAGGTTCTGTCTAGTGAGTTTCTTATTACTTATTTTAGTTTTTCTACAACACACTTAAGAGATTTTTAATTAATACCTGAAAGTAAAGGAGATGCAAGCATTGGCTTTCATGGCAACATGATGGGCATGCCATCTTTCAGCATTTCTAACTGAAAAAGTGACATTATTTTTATACTTTGTAGCATTTTTAATTTCCTTTTGCTCATTTATCCCTCAGGGAGAAGTGATCTCTCCATCTTATAAACTCTCAGCTCCATTTTTTGTACTTATTTGGGCTTTGACTTGGCAAGTGGGACCAAGTCAATGGTAGGTGGCTGGACCCAAGGTAGGGCACATAAACGTAAGGGATAAAAAGGCCTAAACTTTTGGAAAGCTTCTTGTGTTCCACAAGACTTCCTGTAGTTCAGATCCCTACATGTCAGGAACGGGATCAAGCAGCAA